GCATAATTGCCATCGTTTAAAATATTATACATGCTTCTGTACACTTTCTTCACACAACAGTGAGTTGGTTGTAAAATCACAAAGAGGGAAAAGTTATAACGTAATAAACCTAAATTTCAGTGTAAGATTTCCAGGGGATAACCTGAGCTGCTTCTGACACTTTTAGTGTTTAAACAGATGTGTGGAAACGTATGTTGGGAGCCCAGTGGTCACATTCCTTGATCAGTGATGGTATTTCAGGTGGGTTTCTGTTGCAGATGAGCATTGCTAGGAGATTGATTGCACTGGCCTTTCTTTTTGACTGTTTGAATTGGCAGTTTGGCAGATTTTCCCTTTCAGTGGCAAATCTGAATCACCTACTGAACATGCTACCAAACACGCTTCTTACTCTATATTCCCTTACCACCTAACATATACAGATTGTTCTCTACTGTCTTGCACTTGACTAAGCACTCCAGTGTGCATGCATACTAGATGGCAAGAAGTGATGTTTTATAATCTTAGACATGGTTTATGACTCCCATAGCATCTAACTTCTAGGGCAAATATAGTTTAGTAGTGGTTAAGAGTTTGGGTTTTGTAGTCACACAGAGCTAAAATGAAATCCTTTCTTCCTTAATTTACTATTGTTGTGGCCTTGGATAAGCCATAAGTATCAGTTTTCTGAAAAGAAAATGGGGATAATAATAGCTCACATGGTCATTAATAGGATAAAATACAATATCACAGTCCACTGCATTATCTGGCACACAAAAAATGCTCAATAAGTTATAATTATTATCATAAAATATAATAGTTATTCATCAGAGTTTGCTGAATTAATGAACTCTCCTGTGGAAATAGGATTGGCAAATATACAGATTAAAAAACTCAATACATCCAGTTTTTCTATTCCCCACGGTTTTTTTTTAATAATTAACATTTTTTAAGAAATTCAACATAGGATTGGTTTACCTCCTGGGTACATGTAATTTTTTTAATATCTTTATTGGAGTATAATTGCTTTACAGTGGTGTCTTAGTTTCTGCTTTATAACAAAGTGAATCAATTATACATATACATATGTTCCCATATCTCTTCCCTCTTGCATCTCCCACCCTCCCTATCCCACCCCTCCAGGCAGTCACAAAGCACCGAGCTGATCTCCCTGTGCTGTGCGGCTGCTTCCCACTAGCTATCTACCTTACGTTTGGTAGTGTATATAAGAAAAAAAAATGTCATGAAGAACCTAGGGGTAAGACAGGAATAAAGACACAGACCTACTAGAGAATGGACTTGAGGATATGGGGAGGGGGAAGGGTAAGCTGTGACAAAGCGAGAGAGAGCCATGGCCATATATACACTACCCACTGATTTTAATTGAAAAGAAGGGGAGTATATGAAATAGTTCTGTGGTTAACGTATTCAATTCCCACGATGATTTCACTAGTCAAAGTCAAGCATTAAGCATTTTATTTCACAAAGAATAGGAAGGAGTTGACTAAGGAAGTAGAAATATTTTTTTGTCAGCTGTTTTCTACCCTTAATATCTCTGAATAACAGGTATGAAATACAGTTCTCGCTTTGGGTGAAAATTACTACTGGGTAAAGTAACATTTTAAAAAGTCCTTTTCAAATAATCTTTAATTTTGTCACCATTTACAAAATATTAGAATCCTTAAAATGATATTCTAGGCAAATTATAGTCCTTACAAACTGTCAACTTTTAGATAGAAATAGTGAAGGTACAATCATGAGTAAGATGGGTTGAGGGTAGGGAGACCCTGGAAGTCTCCTAATAGCTAAGCAGCAAGGTTGAGTTGGTAACTGAGCGAATACAGCAGGAAGAGCTAAATCAGAGATGAGCCAGTGTTCTTATCAAAGTCACTGGGGGTGATATAAGTTCTAAAAAGGGAGACAAGACAGGAGAGCTAGAATGTGCCTGTGGTTCAGGAAAAATTTGAAGTATAAGCCTTCTTTTGAAAGTTCAGAGGCTACATAATCTTTTGAGCTGGAAATTGGACAGATAGTCAATATAAAACAAAGAAAGTTGTAGAGTTTATAATGGTATTTTCAGAGTCTTGGTTTGGGATCTCCCAAAAGCAGACTCAAACACAAGGATTTGGATGTAAGTAGTTTATTTGGGAGGTGATCCCAGCAAGTACTGCAAGGGAATGGCAAAGTCAGACTAGAAGGGAGGAAAAGCCAATAGAGTGTGCTAATGAGCAGTTTGCCATTCAGTCCTACTGGAACATTCCAAGGGGTGAGGAAGCTGGGGTATTTATTCACCAACTCCCGTATCATTGAATGAGAATCACTCATGGTGTGTTAACAACCTGGAACTTCCAGTCAGCCTCCTATGCTATTCAAGCTGCTTTTTCAGATAGAGAAGCACCTCTGGCAAAGAAACACAGGAAGACTTCTGTGCAGATGACTTTTGGGAGGCCCAAGAGGATATGGATAGGGTACCAACAGAGTCTGCTACAGCAGGAGATGGGGCCCATCTCAGATTTGGATAATCATATATTAGATAAGAGAGATTCTATTTCAAATAAATGGGTAACTTGGGAAGAAAACCACTGAAAGCTGCAATTTATTTGTGTTACTTGAACCATTGATATGTTGTTATCTACATTGATATTCCCCTTTCATTCATTAAAATATTTACTGATAACCTATTATATGTCGAGCTCTATGATAGATGCTGAGAATACAACAGCTAATGACTAAGTGACTGCCCTCATGAAGCTTACATGTTAGTAGTCAAGGAGTGGTTAAAAACAACCAAGCTAATAAATATAACTGATTTATTAAGTGTTTCAACTCATTGAAGTATAAACATGGTATGGTACTATTTTTCCTAATTGCTACTTCATGTGCTCTACTGTACTTCCTTTTTCCACTAGGAGTCAGGGACAATGATAAACATTTCAGTTTGATTCTATCATTTTTCAGATGTTTTCTGAGTTTTGTTCTGATTTTAAAGACTTCGTCTTAGTCTAAGATCCTATCTGATTCAAATATTGTATCTTCCTTTTTTTTTTTTTCAAACAGAGGAGACATGTGGCTCTCATGGATAGGAATTTGGAGGGTGTGTGGTAGGTTTTCACACATTTTCCCTTCTTCCTCGTTTTTCCTCTGTACCTTCTCCTTTGGTGTTGCATTGGGATAGGTGTGACTGGAGAAGAGGGAGAGGAAAATGAAATGCTTGTGATTGACGGTGTCTTCTCCTTGGTTGGTCATAACTTCTCATTTAGCTGTCTGTATGTGCTGTATAAACAGGTAGTAGTTACAGCAGGCCTGATGATGAGATTCTCCTCCAGGCATCTCCTCTGGACATTGGAAGTCCCTGGAAAGATTTGATTACATCTTCCCTCAGTTTTAGCAGGTAGCATCATACCACTTTCCTCTCAGGTGCACTCATTTTGCCCCATGTTGCAAAGCCTATGACAAGAATCATCTGTTTACCCAATCCGAGATGGATCGTTGGTAATATGCCAAATCTAACTTCCATGCTTCTTGGGACTCGGAAATTTGGTGTATGTTGGGGATGGATAGGGATTAGTCCTGGCCCCCTGGTCATCTGGAAACCTCCAGCATACCATCTCTCCCCAGGGTTCTTTATTCCTGTTTCAGTGGTAAAAGGGAAGTCCAGCATGACAACTGGGAAAGCAAAGCCTGTCTTTGTTATCAAAAGACCTCCTCTTCCTTCCCAGACCTCTGTTTATTGATGGAGTTGGTGGTGGTGGGGGGGGCAGTATGATAAGGAACTAGCTGCACTGAATAGTTGAACTGGTGGCCTCACCCAAACATGAATTTTTCTGAATTTAGGATATCAGGTGGATCTTTTGGTCAATTCTGGGAAAAGAGGATCCCACCCAACACTTGATATCATCCTATTACTCTTACATTCTGGGTAAGGTTCTGCACATTTAGGTACAAACCAATTATTCAGAAGACAAATCATTATATGGAATTCTGGCTCTTTAAATGTTATCCAGAGCTTGTTTTTGTCTTTCCATTCAGGTTTGCTTCCATCCATTATTTCAGGGATCTCTGTGGTTTCACCCTCATGGTCCCCTTTGCTATTTTTCTATCTTGGGTTTATGATGTACCCAGTGTACCTCTGTGGTGCTTATATTCTGACTTGTAAAGGATTCTAAATGAGCCCTCATATAGGAACCGATTTACTGAAAAGTCTTAACTCAATGGAATAAACACTTAAAAACGTTTTTGTTTTTTCCCCAAATGCCTACCGATGATCGTGCTTTAGTCAATTCTGTTCCCTTTTGGGGGGTTCTTAACAATATCTCAGTTCAGTTCCATACTTTTCTCAGTTATTTTTCATTTCAGAACAGTTTCATTCCAATTATTTAAGGTTCGGTGCTGCTGATTTTAAAACATCAATGTCAAAGTTGAGTAAAAACTCTTCCTGTCACATAAATACAATAACTGTAAGTGCTGATCAGTCTTATGAATAAAACAAGCAAGGAAGTGAGCTAGTGAATGACAGAGTGAGACTTTAAGATTGGGTAGTCAGGAAAGGCCTTTTTGTGGGACTGAAACCTATAGGATGTTAATGAATGTGAGTGAAGAGTGGGGAGGAGTATTCCAGCAGGAAGACCTAATGCAAAGGCCATGAGGAGGAAATGACTAAGGCATGTTCCAGGGACAAATACAATGTCCATAGTGGATGGAGCATAGCCAACGAGGAGGAAAGTGCTGTGGAATAAGATCAAAGAGGGAGCAGAGGCCCTACCTGCAGACCCATGAAAGTCTAATGGAGGGGGTTCAGATTTTACTCTAAATCCAGTGGGAAACCATTGAAAGTTCTGAGCAGGGAACTTTGACATGATGCTCTTGTGAACTTTCATATTTTCTTCCATTTGCATAAAAATAAAGCCAGAAATCACCAAAATGTCATTGTTTCTGTAATGTGTCTTCAAGGTATGTGAAATTATAGCTGCTGCTTTGTTGAGGCCAAGATCTGTGATTCAAACTTCATATCCTTTTTTGACTTTTCAGCTGCCAAGGAAAGTGAACAATGAAGCCACCATTTCTTTTGGCCCTTGTGGTGTGTTCTGTAGTCAGCACAAATTTGAAGATGGTGTCAAAGAGAAATTCTGGTAAGTTGCTGGCAACTTCTCATGATTTGGTCAAAAATATATGCTTTTTGTGAGCATTTAGAGAGCATCTGTATCTTTAACTACAAATACCTTTAAACAGAAGCACTTGTAATCCAGCTATGTTGGAAAGTAGCCAAAGTAAAAATGAGATTTTAGCCTACCCCTGACAAAATTCTGGGAAACCAGTGGAATTTTGTTCAACTTCAGTGGCAGTATACTCTCAGTGGACAATAAAATGTTAAGGGCCTTCTTAGGGTTGGTTACATTTGCTAGTGCATATACACCTGGGAGCAAACATTTGCAAATGAGAAGACAGGAAACCTTTAAAAGTATATATTCTTTGCCTCCTAATTGCGTATGCAGCGTTACAGTTTAAATGAAAGTTTTTGACAAATATCAGTGAGCTTTAGTTCCTCACATCCTCACATTTGTACCAAATCCCTAACAGGCAGAGGTTTAAACCTTCCAAGTTTGGAAATATTAGCTAATTGCCTGAAGAGGAATTTGTTGAGAATAAATATCTATTCCTAGAACATGGTGGTCTGGTAGGCAGCCATGATTGTACTAAGAGATTAGCTGTAGCCAGTAGATATCCCAATCAAAGCTTAATCATTGTTTAACAACACTTGGATATATATGTCTTTCAGCGTTGATTATACATTTTAGCTATAATTACAAATCATGCATGAGATTTTCAGAATTGATTTTCTGTCTGTAATCATTCCAGTAAGACGTTGAGGAATGTATTGGTATATGAAAACAAAAGGCTGTGGATGGGGCTTTCTGCTGGCTTCTAATTCAGTTACTTCCTAGAATTAAATGTATGCTCTTTAATTTCTCATTAAGTCTAAAACCCAGGCAATAAAGTACATGGCTATTTTTCAAAGCAATAAATACTGGCTGGAGCTTGGAGTTTGGTTAATGTTTGTTTTCTAAGGTGAGAATACTTGATCATTGAAATTGCTAAAGAATAGTATTGTTCTTCAATTGATAGTATATTAATAAGTCTTTCACAGAAGTGGGTCACAGGTTATAAAATAGAGTAACACTACTCAAGTCCAAAGGATTCTTGAATGGTAAAGGTAGGGGAATATATTGGCTTTTTCTCCCCCATTAAATACTTATGAATGTCTTTAACACGTTTTTGTATATTGTGACTCTCTTTCCGCTGTATTTGTGTGTAACATTTTACGTATAATATCTCCAGCTTGGCCTATTTTACGTGGCTGTCTTTCCTTGCCTTACTTTTGAAGTCACATTTTCACTTTCAATCTTGGCTCAGATTGATTATTGCTGAAATAAAATACTTGGAGATATTACTTACTAGCGATATAGCCTGTTGGACTGGATCCCATTTTCCTCGCTTGGTTATGTTATAATGTCTATAGCAGAATCTGAAAGCAAAAAAAAGAATTGAGAATTTAAAAAGCCATCTATATTATGATAGCTTAATTCAAGTAAAATCCAATCTGAAAAAAAAAACAAGTTGCTACCTGCGTATGCTGTCTTGTTTTCTTGGTTTCCTTATTATTTATGAGGAAGGATGCTGTTAAAAAAAAATACACACACGCACACACACACACACACAGATGTAGTTATCATTGATGTGCAGATGCCCTTTAAAGATCAACATTTTAATGCTCTGCCCCTTTATTCTTATCAAGTGTGAGACTGTTTGTGGCTTATTACATGTTCTTAGCTTTGTCTTCTCAGTGTAGGCAAGTGGTGTCATAGCTGCAGTGAGCTTTATTAAAGAAAGCTGTGACAAAGCGAGAGAGTGGCATGGACATATATACACTACCAAACGTAAAATAGATAGCTAGTGGGAAGCAGCCACATAGCACAGGGAGATC